CGGGCGGATCTCATCCACCCCCGAGGCCCTGCCACCGAGGAGGTTTTTGACCACCTCAGTGACCTCGTCCCCAGAGATTGGAGAGCCCAACCCAAAGTCCCCGGGCTCAACTTCCTCAACAGAAGGCATGCTGGTGAATTACAGCCACCTGAACACAGGTTCAGGTGGCTGTAATTCACATAAAATAATTGTTGAATGCAATAAGCCTCAATAAAATCGTTCTAAACATGAAAAAGCCTTTCAGTCTCAGTAATAATCAAACATCCTGTAAATGTTGGACCAGACGCTTCGCTTTAGATATGTTGAGATTTCCCACCAACGTTTTGTTTGGTTTGGTTTTAAAGTATATTTCTGGTTGGGTTCCAGGCAGCTTGTTTTTGTTGAGAGAGGTCGTCAAGTTGTTCTGGGTTCAATATGGCGGTCATAGGTTCCGTGCCTGTTAGACATCCAGCTGACAGTTTGGAGTGGATTTACTCCAGATGGGATCCATCCCACCGAGGCGTCCGCTCTAACCAGATCCAGACCCACCACCTGGTTTCAGTTACAGAACATTTAAGCACACAGACATGTACAGAAGATAACATGTGTTTAATATGTGGGCTCAAAGCCACAGAAACAACTGGAAGTTTCATCTGCAGCACTCAGCTTAAATGAAGTTGTAGATGCAGACGCAGTTTGCTGCAATAATTACAGAATAGTTATCAAAACAAAACATGTACTAACAGATAGTTCTCTGAAGACATTTTGGAGATGATTCTTGGCTATCATCACAACAAATTTTAGCTCAGTCTCTGTAAAATTGACTGAGTTATAACCATTTTTGTGTTTTCTATAACTTGTTATCTGTAGCTGTATTTTGTAATGGATTGATTTCAAAACTTAACCAGTTATAAACTCATATCTAGTGATTAGATTCTGAAATTTTCAGTAGAATCCGTCCAGTGTTATGTGAGATATTTTGCTAACAAGCAAACACAGGGAGCTGAAGACTTAAAAAATGAGGAGGGTATAAAGACACTTTGGCGACACCTGGCGGCAATTTATATCCTGCAGCCTGAGTGTTCAGAAGCTAAACTATAATAA